ACATCGTAACATGAACCATTTGAAACTTACGAACTTGTAAATGTAAAACTATATTCCAAAAAAACTAACGGACGGCCCGTTCTAAAACCAGAACGGCCCGTTCTCAATCCCAGCAGAACGGCCCATTCCAGTTTCAGAACGACTCGTTCTCAACTATGTTTTTAGGCAAATTTTTTATTCCGGAACGGCCCGTTTCACTTTTGAAACGGCCCGTTCCGGGCAACGAATTGGGCCCAAGGCCCAGTGAAAATTGGGCTGTTACAACATACCACTTCTTTAATTTTATAGTGAAGTCGATTGCATGTTAACCTACTTGTTTGTTGTATATTAATAATGGGGTAGAGGGTGTCACATTAAGCAGTGATAGATGTATAATGTTGTGGTGAGCTGGGCTGTTATTGATGATTTTAAATGTTGTATTATAATTGATGAATATTGTTGTGCTCTAGAATGATGAGCTGAGTTGTGAGTAGTAGGCTGTGTTGAATACTACTAGTCGTGTTGTATGCTGATTTGCTGTGCTGTGTTGTGAAATGCTGAGTTGTATGCTGTGTTTGACCACTATGGTGGTGCTGTTCTAGCCGTTATATCGGTGCTGTTATTAGCCACTATCGTGGTGCTGTTATAGCCGCTAAGTCGGTGCTGTTATTGCCGCTAAGCGGTGCTGTTATAGCCACTTAAGTGGTGCTGTTATAGCCGCTAAGTCGGTGCTGATATTGCCGCTAAGCGGTGCTGATATTGCTGAATTGTTGTGGTGTAGTATAAGCTATGCGGATGTGCTGATAGCTGTAGCTGTTTTCTATCATATTGTTGTATATATATGTTGATTTCTTTACACTAGCTTACCCTTTGTTGTTTCCATGATGTTTGGACTGTGATAATCATACTATGTATGGGAGCAGATCAGGGATAGGTTGGTGGCTGTTGGTGAGTCTGTAGGCGGGCAAGCGGAGTTAACCCTTTAGATCTTTTGTTGTTTAGCTACCCAGTAGTGTAGCCTTTGATGTATTTTTACACTTTAACTCTATCCAGACTTGGATCATGTATATGTATATATTCTAGACCCTATATGTATACACTTGTTCCTTTCTGTGTGGTGTTTCTAGTGTGCTGTGTCGTGTGTAGTGACTAGTCGGATCGTTACATAAATTATAAGTTAGCATTTTTAAAGATGCTACTTGAGGTAAAGTCCAAAAAAAGGTTACAAACTGCTAAACAAAATTTGTTAATAAGGCCAAATCAATATGTTTCCCAACTAACAAAACAAACTAAAATTTAGCTGAAAGTGATTGCAAAACATACCTTAATGAATTTGTATCAATTTAATTCCTATAAATTTATGATTTGATTGGAATTGATATAATCAACGAATGAAAATAAAAATAAAAAGGGAAAACAAAATAAATGAGAATTAAAAAAAAAAAGTAAATAGAGCATAATTAATAATTAATCGAGACAAATTGTTAAAAAAAATGTATTAACTATATGAACACAATTTACTAGGAATAAAGAATATACAATACATTATCAGTTGTATAAATTTATGATATTATTTAATTGGGATACATTTTTTTCCATAGTATACAAATGAGAACCTAATAATCAAATAAAAGAAAACGTGCGAGTGTGACAAGTGGATAATAATATTAAGAATAGAAGATATAGAAAAAAATAATTCTATATTTGTAGGATCATCTACCAAGTTGGTCCCGTAGCTCAGTTGGTTAGAGCGCTGGTCTTATGAGCCGGAGGTCGCGAGTTCGAGCCTCGCCGGGACCAATCTTTTAAGGTTTTTAATCAAATTTGGTCGACGCATCGACGACCCTCCACGTCAGACAAGGTCAATGATAAAGTCACACAGTAGGTGACGCTGTACCAGAAACAATCATGAGGCTCGCCTATCTGTCAGGTGTAGATATCTCACAAACGGCCGACAACCTTCCACGTCGGAACCTTAATTTAAGGATCTAAATAGAGTTGCCTGTACCAGATGATCCCCACCACAAACCATAACCTCGTCATCACCCACAGATAATCATAGTCAAGGATTCCTTCTCTATCTGTTTTGCCTTCACGACATATCCTCATCATATAATAATCTCCAATAATTCAAAACTAAAAACAATCCCTTCTGCATATGTATATTCATTAACCCCAAACAATACCATACCTAAAAGTTTGTATACTATTTTTGTTGCATTACTTTTTGTTTACAGAATCAAAATTATTGAAAATTCTAACGTTACTCCCTTGTTTTTCCTTCAAATGATACCGACTAAAAACACGAGTGGATGCTTGAACTTATAATTCAGAACGCCTCTACGTTGAAGTATTAAAGTTGGTGCCTCAATCATGAGGCATTAAAATAATTCGAAATCAGAGGTTTTTAATAAAAATAAAATAAAAATAAAATAAAAATAAAATCACAAGAATTTTGGCCCCGGTTACCGCGACACGTATATTTCATTAACTTTCGTCTTCTCCGATTAAGAAATTGCTTCTCCAATTTTCATTACTCTTTCTCTTCAACCTAGTGACGCTCACTACGACAATTAACAACCAACGCCATGGCACAATCTGAATCACCTCCTTGGATCAACCCAAATACATTCTTGAAATCCATCAACACATTAGAGACCTGGTAAAAAAAAAAATTACAATCAACATAATAGTGTAGCACAAACAAATAGATGAAAAAAATACAAAAAAAAAAAAAAAAGAATCGGATGCAATTCTTTTCTCATATCTCTCTCGACCATAGCAGTAGTGTAATTTGCACACGGTCACTACCAAGTACCAACCCTCTTTTCTCATGCATCTCTCTTTTTCTTTTCCTTTTCTTGCTCACCCTTCTCTCTTTGTAATATCCCTCTCCAATTGATGAGGATGACACAAATGGTGTCCTTAAGGTGGAGGCATGGTGGTGTGTAGGTTGTTTTTCTTGAATCTTGCACAATAATTTTTTTTTATTAATATATGGAATGGATAGAATCGATGATTCATGGATGTATCACTTAGTTAGATATTTCACCTTAGAATTTTTGTTATAATTAATTCCTTGTGAAAAATTATGTAAATTTTATCAACTATTTTTGTTGTATATTAGGTTTCGGCACACACAAAAGTATATACCATACATCATACATGAACCTACTTTTATTATGAATAAAGAATTTTTACATTCATACATTTTTTCAAATTAATATGATATTATTTATTTTAAATATAATAAATTTTCATGATTTTATTTTTATCATTATTTAAAAGACCTTTTACTAATGAAGATATAT